ATATATGAACCTTTATTTAAAAAGTTATTATAACTACCCCTTGAATTATTTAATAAAAGGTTTTTGCATTATCATGATTTAATCCAGACATAATTGTTGGTTTTAAAGAGTTATACACTCTGTTTTCGTTACTTAAGAAGTTACATTTGATTTATGTAAAAGTTTAATTGATTAAAATGAAACAAGAAAAGATTACTGGCCTTTTTCAAAGATGTTTGCTGATAACTAAGAAGTCTGGTTTAGACCTTTTTGCATATTTTCACGTTTTGTGTTCATTGTGTATTTGGATTCTATTTCATGCAAAAATGTTTTTATAGCTCTACAGGAACTGACATTATAAGTACTGGTTGATTGTTTCACCAAATTTTTTAATTGTGATTTTTTTTATTAGATTACTGTATTAGAGTATTGAAAGAATTGGGAGTAGTAGCTTTATATGTGAGGAGTGAATTGCATCCTGTTGAGTTATAGCATATTAAAGAAAACAGCTATAAGGTTGAGTCAGTTTAGGTTAGTGTTAGAGGATATAAAGGGAGAAGTCTTGTAACTGAAATTTGTTATAGACCACTAGGTCAGGATGTGGAAGTTATTGAGAAACTGTATAATGACATTAGAATTATAGCTGAAAAAAATGTTGTTATTGTGGGAGATTTTAATTTCAGGGTTATTGATTGGGAAAATTTTGAGTCTGACAGTGAGAGGGATAAGTTTTTGGAAATTGTTTAGGATACTTTTTACACCAACTTATGATAGAACCTACAAGATTAGAAAAGGGTTACATAAGGTGGTTGTGCCCATTTTAACATTACAGATTTCAATAATTTATTAATGCAATCTTTATTCTAAATCTACTATCTAGTCTCTTCAGTATCAAATATTATATTACATCATAGATCTTACAGTTTGAAGGATTCAGGTAATGTTTGAAAAGAAAAAGTTTATTTAGAATATAAAGATCTATATCAAACTTCAACTGGGTCTGTTAGCCAACGTAATTATGTACCAATCTTTCAAATGTAAGTGCATTTTTTCTTCATATTGTATACTTTGAAAAACTAGTTGGAAGACATTTTTGTGATTTGCTTGTTGTACAACCAGAAAAGAAAGTTTGTTTTAAATGTAAACATCATGAACTCCGTAACTAGAGCAAACTTCGTATTTCAAATGTTTATTACATATTTTCTTCTTGTTTGTTTTTTTGAAGCTAAGCACAAAGCTACACAATGGGCTATCTGTGCTCTGCCCACTACGGGTATCGAAACCCGGTTTCTAGCGTTGTAAGTCCACAGACATACCGCTGTGCCACTGGGAGGGGGGCATATTTTCTTCTATAACTGACCATAACACTCATTAAATATATTAGGATCATTATTCTTTATGTCTCACTTGTACTGTATGGTGTGTTAGAAGAATTACCTAATGAAGACATACCACAATAGATAGATATAAATATGATTGCAATAGATTTAAATAAAATTTTAGTTAAATTTATATATACATAGAACTATATACGGATTTGGACAATCATCTTTGACTCTTAACTGATGGCTACTGACGCTAATAAATATTTTTGCATTGACGTGACGTGTCCATTTTTTTAAATTTTTTTTTTTGTAAAGTTCCATTGCAGTAGTATAACAAAAAACGTAAATCATTTTATGTTCATATTGAATTTCGCTGTGGTATTTGTATGCATAACGAAGTTGGAGGATTGTTTTTTGTGACCTTACAACTTAAGTTTACTCATACAAATATATTATTATCTATGTATTTAGTAGGTTTTGCACAATTCACAAAAATATCCTAAACTAAACTAAAGTATACGTAACTCGTAAATTTGATTGTCTAATCGAACAAATTTTCTTAGGAGTTGTTAAGTAGTTTACATCAGTGAAATGTTATCAAAACCTTTAGGTTTGTATTGATTCTGAATCAGTCTATCCCATGGCGTACGTCTGCATGTTTTTGTGTTATTTTTAGTATTTCAAAAAGGCTCGATAAGTGGCGAAGAAAGTAATAATTGTTTATTGTTATTATAACCCTCCTCGCACGACAGAGGCGTGGGGGGGGGGGGTATTGTTTTCATCCCTGTGTGTGTCTGTGAGTGTGAACATTATAACTCGAGGAAAGGATTTCATCTGATTTTGATAAAAACTGGTACGAATATTGTGTGTTTTCCAAGGACCGATAGAGAAACTGTTGGTGAAAGTAGGTTAAGGCCACACTGAATAACAACTACCTTTTGTTGCAATATTAGGATTTTGAAAAATGGTCAAACTCGAGAGCAAATTGAAATAGAAAGAATAGGTGTACTTAGGCCTACATTTCTGAGGTGGAGCATGGTTTGTTGTGTATTTTGGTGGGATAGTTGCTGCAAAACTAAAAAACAAATCAATAAAAAAAAACATAATTAAACGGGGATTGTACTATTTCGGTTCTTTTCTAGTCTTAAAACTTCCCACTTACAACACTGCCCATAAAGAAGTATTGGTGTTTAGTAGAAACCTAGTGAACTGAATAATTAATTGAAAAATACAGTAACATTAATTTTTAGAGTATTCAAGCTCTAATTTAAATATTTGTTTGTGGTTAATCACAATGGGCTATCTGAGCTGTGCCCACCACGGCTATCGAAAACCCGGTCTTTATAATTTTAATGATTACAGCGTATCGATAATAGTGTCAATTCATCATCTGGTAAGAATTACATTCAGAAAAGTGATTGAATTCAAGAGAACGTTAGACTCATGTTGGTGAAGACAAGTTTGTAGATGGCGATATATTATTTTTTTTTTTTTTAGTAAACTCGGGTAGATAATATAGATATGTCGATGTTTCTGTGTCTTCATCTCTGAAAAAGAAATGTTCTCAAACCACATCAATGACATACATTCCAAAATTCATATTATAGTTGAAAACGAAAACAAATTTTCTATAAACTTTCTAAATGTGCACATCACAAGAAAACAACCAGGATTTGAGACTAAAATGAAAAGAAAAGCAACAAACCTGGAACGATGTCTTCATTGGGAATCCGCACACTCCATACAACAGTAACTAGAACCTTGAAGACTTTATGCAAACAGCATTTAATATATGCTCTGCAAACAATTTAGACGAAGAACTGCAAGTAATTTCTGAAATTTTCATTAAAAAAATAACTATCCGAATAAAGTTGTTAAAAAATAATCGATACAACTAAAAATATATAAAATAAAGCCAAACAAAAAATACAAATATTAAATACGAGAACAACTGTAGACTTACAACACAAAAGAATTGGGTATCAATATCTGTAGTGGGTACAGCACAGATAACCCATCAGTAGCTTTGCGTTTAACAA